CGTTGAGATCTCGCAAATTCCTGACCTATCAGTTTCAATTGAAATGAAGGTTATTCTTGTCTGTCATTTGATTTGAATCCAGTGGAATTTAGCCGAGGTTTTTTCGCGTTGTTCGCTTAATTTTGAGCCATTTCATTTTGCACAAGGATAGCGTTGCAGGAATACAGTGCTGATACGTTCTTTTACCACGTTTTCGTTGAACATGTTCATATTTTCCTACTGACCAATTGTGAGTGTTGCGTCGTTGAGAATAAGTTGAGGACTGCTGGAACGACGAATAAGATACGAGACGACGAAAATAAACCTTTACACGGGGTCAAGACAAGACACACAAGACAATGAAATCTCACTCTTATATAGAGTTTTTTACATCTAAATTTCTAACAATAAGAAGACAACTCGTATACAAATCAGCAGATCACATATGCTAATTCGATCAATACACAAAAGTGAGCGATGTCCCAACAATGAGATCATCACTGGATCGTTGCATTTATCAAAAAATTTCTGCGCTCAAAGTTATCCTGTCTTGATCATTGGTGCTTATTCTTGTATTTTATGAAAAAGATTGTGGAATTACAAGGAGGTTCATATGCAAATATTTTTTTACATGCTGTCCCTAAATGTTACGTGTGAAGTGATTTAAGAAATTTTGGGTCGGGATCAACAGAATCCATTTTTTGAGATTCCGAACACTGATCACTAGTTGATGGTGTGTTCATGTGATTAACTCGTGAGCATTCAAGATTCTGTTTAATTTTTTGCTTATCAATGTAATGCACCAATTCGTTTTTAATGACAACGGTGATGAACTTAAATGTATTATCGCGGCATTACATTATCAATTTTTAGGCTATTTCTGCTGACTTTGTACTTTGTTTCGCTTTGAACGATGAATATGAAAGACTTATTATCTAGGAGCGTTTTCCTCCGTAACAACTATTCCTCGATATCTAGAAGTATGGAAAGTAAGCGTCAAAACCTGGAATTTTTAAATGAGCTGAAAGTATCGAGCATCGATTTTCTGGTTATTACTTTCACTCATCCAAAATGTTGCATATATGCTGATCTGATCAGGTTTTTTATGCTCGAACGTGTGCCGATTGATGTCATTCAAGGTTGACAATTTTCATCATTACGTTCATCGCACTTATCAGTGGCAACTACATACGATGAATGCTATTGTGTAATTTCTGATAAAAATTCCCACAGCATTTTTCGAAACGTCATAATTTAGATATCGAATCACTGATCATTCAGATTACAGACGTTGAGTTTTTTTT